ATGTGTTTATGTACCCCTTCTCCCCTTTCGCATTGTTACACACATTGCATGCGTTTTTACGTATGCTTTACTTACATGTGTTTATGCACCCCTTCTCCCCTTTCACAATGTTACACACATTGCATGTGTTTTTACGTATGCTTTACTTACATCTGTTTATGCACTCTTCCCGCATTGTTACACACATTGCATGTGTTTTCGCGTATGCTTTACTTACATGTGTTTATGCACCCCTTCTCCCCTTTCGTATTGTTACACACATTGCATGCGTTTTTATGTATGCTTTACTTACATGTGTTTATGCACTCTTCTCGCATTTTTACACTCATTGCATGCGTTTTCATGTATGCTTTACTTACATGTGTTTATGCACCCTTTCTCCCCTCTCGCATTGTTACACACATTGCATACGTTTTCGCATATGCTTTACTTACATGTGTTTATGCACCCTTCTCGCATTGTTTCACACATTGTATACGTTTTTGCATATGCTTTACTTACACGTGTTTATGCCTCTCTTATTACACACATTGCACATGTTTTCACGTATGCTTTACTTACATGTGTCTATACACTACTCGGTTTGCATTGTTATGCACCACTCAGCTTGCGTTGTCGGACGTGCCCTCCTTGCATTGTTATGCCTATTTCGAATTGCATTATTATGCATCGCACTTAGGTTGCATTGTCTTGCACCCACCCTCACTCGCGTTGTCACGCACTTTTCACTTGCATTGCTATGCATGTTTCTAACAATGTTGTACCTATTACGTTTCTTTCTTTTGCAGGCACGATATTGTATGTACGGTTCATTTGAGGCTGGCGCGACCAGACGAACCGGACGGTATTGTATTCTCCGCGTCAAACGTAGCGAGAATTACATAATTCTCTTACATCCTTTCTGCATTATAATGTAGTTTGGTTTTTAGCTTGCTTAAAACTGTTGCATGTTATGCTTCGTTACAGCTTTCTTTGCATGATCATAAGTTATGCTCGGCTTTGTGCATTGTTCTTGCATTTTTCCCCTGCCTTTGGGCACATGTCTTGCTATCTTGCTTGCTTGTCTAAGCCTTTGACCTTGTCAAAAATGGGTCGTCTAGGGGCTTTGACATTCACTCCCGTCACTGTTATGACTTTCGAGTTCTGTCAAAGATGGGCAACTGTAGACACCGCATTTTTGACCGTCCTCAAGACTTGGACGTCATCATTTGAACACTCGATGATCATCCATGCTCGTGTTCGTTTTGAGTTCTCGGAGGTCCCGGCTACACGCCTTGCCTCAAGATCTCCCAACTTATCTGTTTTGTGCTTGGTCATGGACCAAACACTTGTGCTTTTGCTTCTAAGGGAAGAGGGTGGCTCGTTTGCCATCCCCTCAACCCACCGGCTAGGGCCTGAGGCCATCGGCCTTTTTTTTTATTTCCATTGGCTAAGTGTGATGGTCGGTCGACACTTTAGTTGGTCGGTCGACCACATTTTCTAGCCGAGACCTTTTCTTTGCCTTTTTCAGGCATTTTGCATGCCAGTTGTGCCAGCTGGTGAGCACAAACTCTACCCTCCATACACGTGTATGGAGGGGTTTGAGCCTTATTTAGCTTCCCTTGGAAACTTTGCAAAGTGGTTTCTCTATAAAAGGAGGGCCTCCCTTCCCTCTCCAGAGTTTGAATCATCTGATATAGAAGTTAGATATACCTCTCTCTCTATATCTCCCCCTCTCTCTAGTTGTGTGTGTAATAGTGTTCAAAAGTGTGTTTTTGTTCTTATTTTTGCACTAAGGCACCTAGTGTTACACTATACTTTGGTTACTGAGGTGTTGAGGGGTTAATTTCAGAGTTTTTGAGTTGGTTTTGATCAGAAGGAGGTACTGGAGTTGGTGTTCTTGAAGTGTTCTTCAAGGGTGAGAATGGTGTTCTTGAAGTGTTCTTCAACGGTGAGAACTACTTCTTTTATTCCCCATTTTGCCTTAAACTTTTAGCCTATCTTTCATGTTGTTTTAAGCTTAGTGTATAACTGATAAAAGTTCTGTATTTTCATGCTTGAGATGTTTTATTAAGGTCACTTTTGTGTTGGGGATCGTCCACCCGCTTTTAGGCCTTGTTTGGCCTCTTTTTGTACCTTTCTCTTTGGGTTTTGTTAGCCTTTTGTTTTGGCCTTCTCACCACTGTAATCCAGAGGATTTTTAGTGGTAGAGCAGTGGTTTTGAGGTCTTGTATAGGGGAGGGACACCCCTCTCCCCTTGTGTCCCATTCGCTTGCATTGTTGGCTTGTAAAGGTAGCATGTTGGCTTAATCTGTTTTAGCTTCATTTCACTAGGTATTTGGTGTTAGTTTATCATGTTATACCTCTATTTCATGTTGGTTTGTTGGCTTATTGCATGCATCATGCACTTGCCTTGCAATCCTCTTATTTGCCTAAACATGTGTCATGCATTCAGACCATCATGCTTGCATGTTTTAGCTTGCCTTCATGAAGCTTTTATCCATGTTGTGGCATGTTTAAGCTCTATTCGGTGTCGATTTGGTCATGTTTTCCATGTTTGGTATAGCCACCATGCATTTTAGCTTGTTAGCTTTGGGTGTGTGAGTCATGAGCATGCTTTACTTGGGCTATTTCAGTGGTTTGGAATCACTTATCATGTTATTTCAGTCCATGTCTCTTGCTTGTATGCTTGCATTTGCCATCCTTTCAATGCTTTGAGGGGTTGGTGTCTTATACTCCATGTTTGGGTCGTTGTGCATGTCTCCAAGATTAAGTCTTTGGGATGCCATCTCATTGGGTTTTAGGGTTTGTTTTGGCATATTATAGCTCTAATTTTTCTTGATTAAGTCATGCCATGCTTGGTGGTAATGGGTGCAGGGCAATCCTCTCCTTTGGCCTTATGTGCGCCATGTTTTGTGCTCACCTTTCTAGCTTGATTTGACCACATCCCGCGCATGCTCTAGCCTTATTTTGGTCTGCCCTAAGACTATTTTAAGTCGTCTTGGCTCTTTGGGGCTTGGTTGATATGGCCATGGATTGAACCCCTTTGTTAGTCTCAAGTTTTGGGCTTTATTGCATGCCTTACTTGCATCACATGGTTGATTTGGCATCATCCTTTGCACATTTTCAGAGCTTATCATACTTGTCATATGTCCATATTTGTCTCTGCTTAATGTGTCTAAGAGTCGACTCTTTTTATGCCTAAGTGTTGGACCTTTACATGTGCATATTTGGGTGTGTTTTGTCTATCATTTTTTGGCACTTTGGCCACTGTTGTGGTATGGGTGGGGCCTATCCATCCTTAGTGTAAGTCCACGGATCATGCACTCGTGTATTGTTGTAGGCTTACCGCATTGCATGTTGTCGCATCCTTGTGGTTAGTGTCATTGTTGCATGCCTATCATTCGATATACTTACATACCTAGGTTGCATTGTAGTATTACATACTTATTGCATTACCATGTTGCTTGCATTTTAAGTTGCATTGTTCATGTTGCATCGCATTAATTGCATGTTTCACGTTGCATTTGGCATGCATACATTCCATTGTTGTTTGGTTTGGGGTGTCAAAGCAAACATGAGGATCAAGGGACGTTTCGTACTTAAAGTGACGAAACGTGCCTCAATCCTCAGTCACCAACACTCTGGACCTAACATGATAGAGTTCGCAACATTTATTTGTTTGTTGCATTCATTCCATATTGATATGCACCTTTGACACCATTGGCCATCATGCATCGAAATGTGTGATTGGTGGCTCGAGGGTCGACAGCCATACTCCCTTGAGTTCATAGAATGATAGGGAGGGTGGTCGTGCATACATTTGGCTTGCAAATTCCATGCCATGCACTATTGTCGACACCCCATTTTTGACCGTCCTCAAGACTCGATGATTATCCATGTTTGTGTTCGTCCTGGGTTCTCGGAGGTCTCGGCCACGCGCCTTGCCTCAAGACCTCTCGACTTGCCTGTTTTGTGTTTGGTTTTGCACCAAACACTTGTGTTTTTGCTTCTAAAGGTGGGAAATAGCTTCTTGGCCATCCCCATACCTCACCGGCCATGGCTCGAAGCCACCGGCCCTGTTTTGTTGCTACCGGCCATTGGATATGGCCGGTCGGCACTCTGTTTGGTCGGTCGACCAGTGTTTTGGTCAATTTATCATTTTTGGCTAGTCGACCACTGTTCATCTGTTTTTGGCAGATATTTTGTGCCAGCTGGCACAGTTGTCACACACAATTAACCCCCTCCATACACGTGTATGGAGGGATTTCCCTCTTGCTTAGCTTGTTTTGTAAGCTTTGCCAGATTGGAATTCCTATAAAGGGAGGGCTTCTCCTCCCTCCTAAAAGGTTCCAAGAAGTTCCAGAGGCCTGGTTTTAGGGTTAGGAGTCTTGTATCTATCATATCTCTATATCTCCTTCCCCTTTTGATTTGTGTGTGTATAAGGTGTGTTTGTTCTTAGTTTTGCACTAAGGCACCTAGTGTTACACCATACCTTGGTTGCTGAGGTGCCAAAAGGTTGTTCTTGGAGTTCTTGGGCTGGTTTTGACCTAAGGAAGGTGTTGGAGCTCTCTTCTTGAAGAAGGTCTTTGTAATAACCCAACCCTCATATCTGTTTCTAGTATATTTTCGATCTGTTATTCTGTGCATTTACTTGCTTTCTGTGAAAAGTGATCTATATCCGTGGCATTTTTATTAGTGTATTTGGAACCTCCCTATTTTATTTTGGGCTATTGATTGTGGTGGTAATATGATGGTAAAGTAAGATTGGATCAAAAACTTTAATTTGAATAATTCGTTTACGACCAACCGTCACTCTTTTGCCCTTTTCTTGTTCCACACTTGGAATTTGGATGTGAGGTTAGAACCATTGGAAAGCTTATTTTCGGGGCTTCAATTTGGGCACAAGAATGACCTAAAATGGAGTCCGGATGAGAGAGTTACGCCTGTTTGAAGTTTTCATACCTGTGCTGGAAGCAGAACCGCACGTGCGGGAAATGTGGCGCACGTGCGGCGATGTGCGGGGCAACAGCTCAAAAACGTGATTTTTGAGTCATTTCTTAGATTTTCTTTTCCTCACTTCTTCTTCCCTCTTCCATGTCCGAAACCCTAGCTCCCAAAACCTTGATTTCCTCCACTTTTCTCAACAAATTAACCATGAATCTTGCATCAAGGATGGAGAATAAGAGGAGATCACCACTTTCTACCGAATGGAATTCCGAAATTTTTGAGGTATGTTGGGGTATGTTGGGGTTCTATTGTGGGGTTTAGAGTATGGTTTATGGGTTATGGACCTAGGGTGCCTAATAAATGAGAAGATTTGCAATCAAAAGTAATGGGTTAAGAAGAGTTAAAATTGTATTTGAAATTTGTAGATTTCTTAGAAACCCTAGGTTGGTTTTTGATGATAATCCTTGATTTGGCCCAAATTGATAGTTGAATCATGAAAGTGGTAAGTTGAATTAGATGTGTTCAAGTTTAATTGGAATTTGGTTATGTTTGAAAATTATGTTTAAATTTTGCGATTGAACTTTGTTAAATGCATTGTAAATTATGTTTTAATAAAAGGGAAATTGGGAAGAAAGAAGAAGAAGCTTCCAAGGAAGAAGATTGGGAAATTAAAGGGGTTATAAAGATTTTAATGGAGGGTATGTGTAATTCATTCTTAATGGTTCCTCTCTTTGATAACTAAGTAGAAAGTTCTTTATGTTACACAAGTTAGGGTTTATGTTATGGAACAAATATGTGGTGAATGATTAATTAGAATCACGTTTTTGAAGTTTGATTGTGTAGCTAAATGATCATGTGTGTATATATAGCTATGTGTGAGAAGATAGGAATGTTATGAAGTTAAGTTGTGTTTGTGAGTTAAGATCAAAAGTCCAAATTGTATGAAGATTGATCTATGTTATAGCTCCTATTTACATGATTTTGAACCATGTTTCATCAATTAAAAGAACCTATTTTGAGCCTTGAAAAATGTATCAAAAATTGGGTTTTTCTGCATTTTCGGACTGCATTCTGCCAGAATCGCCGCACGTGCGGGGCTTCTTGCCGCACGTGCGGGAAGCACTGCCGCACGTGCGGGGCTCACAGCCGCACATGCGGCCCATGCTGCAAAAATTTGTTTGCTCGGTTTTACGTGCTTAACCCTCTGGTATTTTTAGAATTTGTGTTTGATGTCCCTAAGATGCCTGTAAATTCATTCGAAGTAAACTAAAGAAGGAAAGGAATTAAGAAAGCAAAAGAACTAATGACTAAGTTATGTGTATGTACAGGGCACACTCCAGGAGGGGCAAGCACTCCGTTGTAGCACTGTGAGTAGTAGTACAAGAATGTACACTTTATATACTATTGACAATTATTGTCACTAATCCTCTGTTCTTTGTAAGTATTATTCAAACAATTATGACAATTGGAAAGCAATGTGAACTTATATGAACGCTGAAAGATTTGCGTACGTCGGTATGATTTTGGAATCCTTATATTCCGTTAATGACGAATATTAGCCCTTTGTTATTTATCAGTATAGTATGTTATTTCTTAAAGAATAAGTGGAACTTATGTTCAGCCTTGAAGAATGATGTTGTGTGAATTTAAGATTATGTTACGAAGGGATCCAAGAACGTTTAGAATCTATGATAGGAATGTAAAGGTTTACCATTAGCATGCAACCCACATAAGAATATGAATCATTCTATTTTGTTAAGTGCATGATAATGACATGATATAACAAGAAAAGCTCTGTTTTCTATTAACTTAATGATTATTCATATATGTAGAAGTATTCACATCATCTTTAGCACAAGGCCCTTACCCAGGGATAATAATACCGTGGTTCAAATAATTAAGTTACAAGTTTACGTATGCTATAAGTCAAGAATTGTTATAAGTTTACGTATGCTCTAAGTCAAGAATGTTACAAGTGTTCAAGTTTAAGTGTGTTATAAGTTCATGTAAATTACAAGTTCAAGCATGTTATAAGTCCATGTATGTTATAAATTCAAGTATATTACAAGTATACGCATGTTATAAGTTCAAGTATGTCACAAGTTTAAGTGCGTTACAAGCTTAAGTATGTTACAAGCTACGTTACATGCTTAAATATGTACAAGTTCAAGTGTACTATAAGTTCACAATGTTGAGGAATTTCTTTATGGAACTAACAAGAATGCTTTTTATTGATTTGCCAGCGCTATTAAAAGGCTAAGTATAAGTAAGAATGAATCCTGATTTCTGTTAATGATTCAAGCATAATGCATATGTATGAATTTATATCCGTTATGGTATGACATTTATGTATGGTTTGGGTCTGTAAGACCTGCTAATTATTGGTATGGAACAAAGTGCTACTTGGAACTAAGTGCTACATTGTGAGCCACCGCTAGAGTCCATGTGAGACACCTCTTGAGTCCATACATATGTGAAAATTATGAGGCTGAAAGCCATTCTGTGAAAGTTATGAGGCTCATGGCCATCTGTATAAGTTGTTATGAAATGAAACAAAGTGCTACACGGAACTAAGTGCTACAATGTGAGTCACCTCTAGAATCCATACGCCGTGTCAAGCCCCCTCTTGGGTTCATATATGTGTGAGAGGGGCTTTAATGCCAATATAGTTTTTAAGGGCTTTAAGTGCAAAT